CTAAATGAGTTTTAAAGTACAGTAGTCCCCCCTTATCTGTATACAACCGGCACACACCCTCCTGTATACTTCAAATCATCTGTAAACTAGACTGTCTGTGGCCAGTTACGAACCCACCCACACTGTAGGGCAGGAAGGAGTGAAGCTGAGCTCTACCTCCTGTCAGATCAGCAGGGCATTAGATTCTCACATGATCCCAAAGCCTGATGATCTGTTACTATATATACTACATAAAATAATATATACCTATATACATTATATATTACAATGCAATAACAATAGAAATAAAGTGCACAATAAACTTAAGGCTTGAGTCATCCTGAAACCACCACCACCACCCAACCCTCCGCTGGTCCACAGAAAACCTGTCTTCTGCAAAACCAGTTCCTAGTGCCAAAAAAGGTGGGTGACTCGCTGCACTGGAGTTCTTAGAATGTATCACTCTAGGATAAGGGGGGATTACTGTTTATTAAAAGCTGCTTTGTATAGAATGTTCCAAAGGCAGAAGACACAGAAACTTTCAAAAACCATCTCCTTCTCTGCGATAAATGTCTCTTCCTCCACAATCTGATTCTACCCTCGCTGTTCAACCACGTTCTTCCAAAACCCTCATGAACACGCTCCAACCTAGTCACACTCTCTCTCACTCACCACCGTGTCCGTTTTCATGTCCAGATGCAGCACTGAGCTCCCTCTCTAGGATGGCCCATCACCTGCAATGCTCTTCTGGAAACCTCTGTGCTTCTCTCCATTTAAATCCAGTGCTCTTTTGGAGGCCCCGCTGATGTCGGACTTACCCCATGATTTATTTGCCAACTCCAGCCTGCCTCTCATCCCGGTCTCTACAGTTCCTATGTGGGTTCTATAATACATAATTCAACATCTCACTGGAATCTTATGTTTTATTCTTGACAATCAATTAGACCATAAACTCCTGGAGAGAAGGGACCACTTCTTTCAATTTTGTATCCCCCTCAGCACCTAGTACCAAAGGATATACACCAGTTAGCTGATAGATCCTCTTAATAACCAGAAATGCAGACATGCCCTTTGGCCTGGCAACTGCATTTCTAGAAACTGACACTACTAAAATACATAAACATGAAAAATAGTAGGATCAAAGACATGCATTGTGGTCTGTCATAGTACAAACTGGAAGTAACTAACACAAACGTCAATTATTAAGACTAGTGATGCCAGGCACAGCAGCTCATGCCCGTAATCCCAACACTTTGGGAGGCCAAGCAGGAGGACCGCTTGAGCCCAGGAGTCAGAGGTTACAGTGAGCAATGACCACACCACTGCATTGGAGCCTGGGCAGCAGAGCAAGATCCTATCTCGAAAAAAAAGAAAAAGGAAAAAAAAAGAATGCCCAGTGAATTTGAGTCCATACTGCCCATTAAAAAAACCAAAACAGTTGGGATATCTATTACACACAGACATAACAAAGTAGTAGGTGAAAACAGTTGCAGAAAAGGGTATTCAATAGGCCTATTTTTGTTTATTCATACACACAAAATGCAAAAGAACACAAATTTTTAGATTGATAATGTCTGGTAACTAGGATACACTTTTTACTTAGTTTGAAAAAAAAATAAAAAAACGAACAAAGAGCACATATGATGTTTGTAGTAACAAATATTTATGTATTTTAACTCACTGCCCCCAAACAGTCATTTACAAACAATTTGTAATATGAACCCATTTTGTTTAAAGTATGAGAAATAATAGTTATTTCTGGAAAAGGGAATACAGGAAACTTTCACATTCTAGGGTAGATAGTTGTTTTTTCTTAAATAATGGGCACTTACTTTAGTTGTGAAAAAAAAAAAGAATTTTTTTAAAAAGAATTCCATCTTTCCCTGAGCTAGTGATCATTCCAGAGGGTAAGTATTTTGGTCCACAAAACTTTTCTTAGCAACTTCTTAATCTGTAGAGAACTACCTTTATCGCTGGACTGCCCACTCTACTGAATCTTAGTAAGCATTACAGATAACACCAACAAATCAAATTCACAGAAGCTGCTATCAGAAAAACTTCTCTGCCAGATGAGTATTAAACACTAAATCTGTTTGATAAAGGGAATCTCTCCAATAAAAAATTAACCTCAAAAATTTACTGAATGACTGTAACAGACCCAGCATTACACTGGCCCTTATAGTAACAGCTCTGTTGTTAAATACCTTATACTTATCTAGACTAATCACAAACTTGCCCGAATCCTTGTTTCAAGGTCAAAACTACAGATAAGGCAAGAATCTTACATAGTTTTACCCATAGGAACAACAGGAGGAAACTGTGAGAACCACCCAAGGGAGCACTGGATTCTGTCCCCTGATCTCTACTTCACATATCACCATGTCCCTACCAGCCCTGTTCCAATGTGGAACTTACGAAAGTCCTGACTTAAGCAGTCAAGGCCTTCCCCACTAAGCCTCTAATAAAAACAAAGGGGCAGAGTTATCTGCTCCCTCCTTTTCCATCTCAGTATCCACCCTGAGATTCAACTGCCTTTTTGCTTTCCCCTCAAACTTACTGCTGAACAGCTTATAGCTACTGAAGTGCTTGATTTGTACTAATTCATTTATACACATAATAACCCTATGATGTATTCCTATATTGCAGATGAAGAAATGGAAGTACAAGGTCAAATAACTATTAAGTGGCAAAGCTAGGATTTAAACTCAGATATTATAGTTCCTCAATATAATCTTTATTGCGCAGCAGTCAGTATCTCTTGATATATGTCTTTTAACCTAGAAACCATCAGAAATCTTCAGACAGTAAGGCTCTGAGGTTTCAGTAACAAATCTGAAAGTCAACAGATCACTCGAATCAAATGTTTACTCTAGAAAATGCTGTTTGTCCTGGTAATACTGGATAAACGAGAAGTAGGAAATTTGCAAAATGTGCTTGCCAATGCCTTCTGGGTTTTTTTTGTTTTTGATTTTTTTTTGTTTTTGTTTTGAGATGGAAGATAGAGTCTCTCTCTGTCTCCCAGGCTGGAGTGCAGTGACGCGATCTCAGCTCACTAAAACCTCCACCTCCCAGCTTCAAGCAATTCTCCCACAGTTCTCCTATCTCAGCCTCCCGAGTAGCTGGGATTACAGGCATGTGCCACCACACCCAACTTTTAGTAGAGACTATTTTTAGTAGAGACAGAGTTTCACCATGTCAGCCAGGCTGCTTTTGGAATTCCTGACCTCAGGTGATCCTCTTGCCTCAGCCTCCCAAAATGCTGGGATTACAGCCATGAGCCACCGTACCTGGCCTCTTTTTTTTTTTTTTTTTTTTTTTAACTTTTGAAAAGCTGTTTAAGGTAATAAACGCTCAACCTTTTAACCTCCTAAAACAATAACCGGGTTAAGATTCTAGTTCTGTAACTGTTTTCCTTCGCCTGTAGAATAAGACATAAACATGCATATAAAGCAGTTGGCATAACTGTGCATGGTAACAGGAGACTGGGATCACTTGAGCCCAGGAGTTTGAGACCAGCCTGGGCAACACAGGGAGACCCCTTCTTTACAAAAAATTTAAAAAGTGGCCAGGTCGGGTAGTGCACACCTGTAGTCCTAACTACTCCAGAGGCTGAGGTGGGAGGATCGCTTGAGCATGGGAAGTCGAGGATGCAGTGAGCCATGATACCACCATTGCACTCCAGCCAGGGCAACAAAGCAAGACCCTGTCACAAACAAAAACATGACTTGAGAGTAAGGAGTCAATGTCACCTACTATTCCCAGCATGTGGAAAAACGTACAAGTTAAACTCAATGCCCTAAACAAGACCCATGAATTCATGTTGACAGAAAACAAATGTAAACATTTAAACAATTATGCTTTCTGTTTAAATTTATTAAAGTTATGAGAAAATAAAAATAATTAAAAATACTTTAACATTACCAAATTATCACACAGTAGTCAATTACACAAGAATGAATGCTAACAACCTGTCTCAAACTCATTCATTCCATCTATTTCCACGTGAAGTACCCAAATGTCTTGTTTTCAAAAGTTTTTCTCTTTCCTGTGCCATGCCTTGTCTTACCTTTAACAATGAGATGATAATCTTTGCTCTCCTTCTTTCCCCCAAGCACCCCCTTACACAACGTTTCCCTTATCTAATTATGTGTTCGTCTGAAGTTCCAGAGACTAATCTTGAAACAATTCAGGCGACTATTGCATTCTCCTCCACCTGGAGATTACTTCAAGGCTGCAGTTAATTTGCAACCCAGTTATACTCCAGATGGCGCCAGCCCATTCAGCAGATGAGGCAACAACCCAAGATAAATATCTGAGCAAGTCACAGAGACTGGGGCCTCCGAGCCCCGATGCCAAGCTCCCCTTTTTAAGCCCTTGCATTTTCTCCAAATTTGAAATGGTTTCTTTAAGGCAGAAGCTTGGACCACTTCCCCACTGCTAGCTTTGGAAAGTAGTCACTTTCCTTTCCGGGCACTTCGTCCTTGTTGATTGGCTCGGCAAGCAGCGGAGCAGCCCAGCCTGCACTCAGTTACACAGTAATTTCAAATCTTAGAAGAACAAAAATCCTGAGTGTCATATACATTTAAAGCACTTGATATAACCATTTACCAATCTTTTATTAGGTAAGCTCGGGGCACTTTGGATTAAAAATGCATCACGGTCAAGCAACGATGACCGTCCCTAATGCCTGCAACGTCTAATGTTCCGCTATGTTCCAGATTTGTTCGTGCTGCTGGTGGAGGCGCAACAGCCGGGAAGAGCTTACTGGGCTCCAGGCGGACTATACACACTATATCGTGTCATTTCGTCCTCACAGCAAGGACTGATACGTAAGCTCATTTTTCAGATGAGGAAAATGAGGCCGGCGAGAGGTTGATATGTTAGCGGTACAGAGCTAGGAAATCAGGGACAGAACCCAGGCTGGAAGTCACGCTGGCTCTAGAGCCCCGTCCTTTCGACCTGTTCCCGTCGCTGGGGAGGGGCATGTCAGTGACACTAAAACGTGGAAAGAAATACAGTACCAGTGGAAAGCAGGGGCTCCAACGGGGTAAAGGCATGCTCCATAACGGATTATTGGCCTCTGCATTTAAAAAAAAAAAAAAAAAAGTGAAGTTAGACTTTCTCCGTTGTAATTAAACACTGCGCAAAACCAACAGCACGGGAGACGCCTGAACCCGGCACTCGGCAGCGGCGCGCTTCGGGACCCAGGAGCCAGCTGAGCGGCGGCGCGGCACCCAGCGTTGGGACCCGCCACGGCTAGCCTGCAGCGCCGGCGCGGGCGGGGTTCCCCGCAGACCGGCGCGCGCGGGCTGCTATGAGGTCCGAGGGCTTTCCCCTGCCGCCTCTGCCCGTGGATCCGTCACCATCCGGGAACCTGGGGAGCGAGAGGCGGCCGCCCCCTGCCGCGGCCCGGGCGCCCGGCGGCAGTCGCACTTACACAATGGCGGATGGAGCCACAGAGTGGGGAGCGCAGGCTGCGGGAGCTACGGCGATCAACCGCTCGGCGCGCGGCTAAGGAGCCTCGGCGCGCGGTCCTCGCTCGCAGGTTTTAGCCCCCGGGACGCGAGGTGGCCCCGCCCGCTTCCGGGAGCCGGAGGCAAGTGGGAGCCGCGCCCCGTGCTCTGTGTCCGGCACCATCCGCCTCAAGTCTCCAATGCTGCGTTCTCTGGGCTGGTTCTGCTAGCTGTGGCATTGCTGCCGGGCCCTCTGCACTCAGTCAGCTTTAGAAAGGAGGCCACCATTTGCTCCAAACTAAGTGGCGAATCCCCCATCACCCATGCTTGACCTGGCTTCCGAGCCAAACAAAACTACACAGTGCTGCTTACCGGTGTCCTCCCTCAGCCGTCGGGTTAAAAGCTTTCCTTCCTGGCCGGGTCTGGTGGCTCACGCCTGTAATCCCAGCACTTTGGGAGGCCGAGGCGGACGGATCACAAGGTCAGGAGTTCGAGACCAGCCTGGCCAGCATGGTGAAACCTCGTCTCTACTAAAAATACAAAAAATTAGCCGGGCATGGTAGCGCTCGCCTGTAATCCCAGCTACTCGAGAGACCGAGGCAGGAGAATCGCTTGAACCCGGGAGGCGGAGGTTGCAGTGAGCCGAGATCACACCACTGTACCCCAGCCTGGGCAACAGAGGGAGACTCCATCTCAAAAACCAACAACAACCAAAAAAAAACTTTGTTTATTTAGGGAACACTCCGTTAAGAGCTTTCCTTCCTTTGCTTTGTGGAAACAATTTTTTTGTTGGAAGAAACTTCAAGCCACCTATCTGCAGCTGCAGAGCGTCACTCTTGCAATACAGGCTTTTCCAATACTGAGCAAACCTAATCTCCCTCTACCCTCTTAAGGTTTCCACCTGGGCCTAAGAGGTCAAATTGACATAAGACAGTTTAACAGGAGAAAAGCTTACAGCTGTGTGCATGGGCATCCACAAGAAAAGACCCAAAGGAGGAGGAAGCCCAAATGCTTATATACGGGTTTAGCTACAACAGATCTCAAAAGTCCATGTTTAAATATGACCTTAACGAACCTAAAAGACAACTGAGTGTAATAGGAGGAAACTATCAGCACATGTAGTAGACAAGTGGTTGTCATGTGTTTATTCAAGGAAGAGCTGTTACCAGTTGATGTGTCCAGGTTCTTGGCGTCTTGAACAAAGAATTGGACAAAATGTACAAACAAAGCAAGAAAAGAATGAAGCAAAAAAAAAAAGAGATTTATTGAAGATGAAAGTACATCCCATAGGTTAGGAGCCCCTGAGCATAGGTGCTCAAGAGTGCCGTTAGAGAATGTTCTGGGGTTTAAATGCCCTCTAGAAGTTTCCATTGGTTACTTGGCATATGCTCTATGTAAATGAAGAGGATGAAGTAAAGTTCAAATTCATTTACTGGATATAAGCCTTATGTAAATGGAGAGGATGCTTCCTGTCATTGCTGAAGTATTTCAATTTGATTTATTTCCAAGAAGTCAGCGTGAAGCAACCTTACATTCCCTGCCTCCAGACCCTATTCTCCTGCCTCAGAACTACATGTCCATTAGTAAAAGCCAAACCAGAAAAATCATAACCAAGGCTATGAACAGGCAAGGCAAATTATAGAAGGTAATCAAATGGCAAAAACACATCACCAGTATTCAGAACGCAATCTTGAACAATGAATTCAATGGCAGATTGTAACCGATTTTTTAAGCAGTAACAAAAATTTACATTTACTGATCGATTATGATGTTCCAGTCAGTGTTGAGGTCTTTCATATTTTATTTAATTACCCTAAAATGTAGGCTCCAGGAGAACAAGGACCAAAATTTAATTGTTCGCCTTTGAAACCTCACTCTAGCACAGTTTACTTGTTAATGATGTGTCTCCCCCTGCTAGAGAGCTGGCTCTCTAAGGGCAGGAGCCATGTCTGTCGCCTTCTCTGCTATTTCTCCTGCCTCACAGTGTGTCACCGAGAGAAGTTCAGTAAATGTGAAACAGATTAACAAGTAATGGGGAAAAAATGGAGAACTATGGTACTTCATACCAGGAATTACAGGCGTACCTCCTTTTATTGTGTTCAGCTTTATTGTGCTTTACAGATACTGCATTTTTTACAAATTGAAAGTTTGTGGCAACCCTGCATCAAGCAGGTCTATCTGCAACGTATTTCCAAAAGCATACACCCGCTTCATGTCTCTGCATCATATTTTGGTAATTTTCACAATACTTCAAACATTTCCATTAATACTATATTTATTATCATTATCTGTGTTCAGTGATTTTTTTATGTTAACTCTTGTCATTGTTTTGGGGTACCACCAGCTATGCCCCTATAAGACGGCAAACTTAATACATCAATGTTGTGCGTTTCTGACTGCCCCAGGACCAGTACATTCTCCTGTATCTCTCTCACCTTGGGCCTCCCTATTCCCTAAGACACAACAATGTTGAAATTAGGCCATTTTATATCCCCACAATGGCCTCTAAGTGTTCAAGTGAAAGGAAGAATTGCATGTGTCTCACTTTAAATCAAAAGCTAGAAATGATAAGATTAGTGAGAAAGTTTTGTCAAAAGAAAGCTAGATTTTTTGTATCAGTTAGCCAAGTTGTGAATGCAAAGCAAAAGTTCTTTAAGAAAGCTGAAAGTGCTACTCCACTAAACAAGTAAATGATAAGAAAGATAAACAGCCTTATTGCTATGAAGAAAGTTTGAGTGGTCCGTGTAGAAGATACAACCAACAACATTACCTTGAACCAAAGCCTGATCCAGAGCAAGGCCCTGATTCTCAATTCTCTAAAGTCTAGCAGAAATGAGTAAACTGCAGAAGAAAAGTTTGAAGATAGCAGAGGTTCATGAGGTTTAAGGAAAGAAGCCATCTCCATAACATAAAAGAGCAAGGTGAAGCTGTAAGTACTGATGAAGAAGCTGTAGCAAGTTGACCAGAAAATCTAGCTAAGATCATTGATGAAGGTGGCCATACTAAGGGATAATTTTTCATGGAGATGAAACAACCTTATATTGGAAGAAGATGACATCTAAGACTTTGATAGCTAGAGAGAGAGGAAAAGTCAATGCCTGGCTTCAAAGCTTCAAAGGACAGGCTGACTCACTTGTTAAGGCCTAACGTAGCTGGTGGTTGTCAGTTGAAGCCAATACTTGTTTACCATTTTGAAATTCCTACAGCCTTTAAGAGTTATGCTAAATCTGGCCAGGAACGGTGGCTTACGCCTGTCATCCCAGCCCTTTGGGAGGCTGAGGCGGGCAGATCACGAGGTCAGGAGTTTGAGACCAGCCTGACCAACATGGTGAAACCCCGCTGCTCTCACAGCACTGCTCTCCAGCCTGGGCGACAGAGCGAGACTCCATCTCAAACAAACAACAAAAAAAATTACGCTAAATCTTAGGAAAAGTATCGAATGCATGCAGGGCTTAAACCTAGATGACAGGTTGATAGGTGCAACCACCATGGCACATGTATACTCATGTAACAAATCTGCACATTCAGCACATGTATCCCAGAAGTTTTATTTTTTTATGTGGATATATATACACACATACACACACACACACACATATATATTTTAAAGTCATACCTAGGTATTTAGTAGAAATGAAAATGTGTGTCTTCAGGAAGACCTATGTATAAATGTTCAGGACAACTTTAAAAAAAAAAAAAGAATTATGCTAAATCTACTCTGCCTGTGCTCTAGAAATGGAATAACAAAGCCTGAATGGCAATACATCTGTTTACAGCATGGTTTACTGAATATTTTAAACCCACTATTTTACCGCCTAGAAAAAAAAAATTCCTTTAAAAATTTTACTGTTCATTAATAGTGCACTTGGTCACCCAAAAACTCTGATGGCAATTAATGATTTCATGCCTGCTAACACATCCATTCTGCAAACCATGAATCAAGGAGTGATTTCTACATTCAAGTCTTATCATTTAAAAAACACATTTTGTAATACTGTGGCTGCCATAGATAGTGATTCCTATGATGGATCTGGGTACAATACATTGCAAACCTTCTAGAAAGGATTCGCCATTCTAGATACCATTAAGAACATTCATGATTCAAGGGAAGAGGTCAAAATATCAAAATTAATAGAAGTTTGGAAGAAGTTAATTCCAATCCTCATGGCTGACTTTGAGAGGCTCAGGACTTCAGTGGAGGAAGTTAACTGCAGATGTGGTAGAAATAGCAAGAGAACTAGAATTAGAAGTGGAGCCTGAAGATGGAACTGAATTGCTGCAATCTCATCATCTTGGCTTACTACAACGTTCGCCTCCTGGGTTCCAGTGATTCTCATGCCTCAGCCTCCTGAGTAACTAGGACTACAGATTTGTGTCACCATGCCTGGCTAACTTTTGTAATTTTAGTATAGATGGGGTTTCACCATGTTGACCAGACTGATCTCAAACTCCTGGCCTTAAGAGATCCGCCCACTGTGGCCTCCCAAAGTGCTGAGATTATAGGCGTAAGGCATCACGCCCGGCAAATATACCATATATTTTGAACGCCACCAGTATAAGAAAATGAGGGCAGAGCCGGAGAATATTTGGTGAGGAAGATAGAAGAGCCTCTTTGTATCCTGGAGAAAACTATATAACTTACGACTTGGAGTTTCTTCCTACTTTGTGGAGTCATACTGTGGACCTGTTTACCATCAGTATTAATCTTTTTGGGATCATAGAATCAATTGAAAATTTTGTTGAAGATTTGGAATCTCTCCCCTGAAAATTGTTCCACGTATGTATGTATGCCCGCGTGTTTGTATTTATCCTGCTTTCCTTGGAAGCCCCAAATGTACCAAAGGTTAACAATAATTACTCATTAAATTTATTTTAATATACATTTTTATAAATGTCTTAAACTTCTTTAATATACATATTTTTTTAAACGTATTAATATAATTTTAAAAGTACATGAAATAAAAATTGGTATCACTCTCACCCTACTGGCTCCTACCTACTATATCCCTTTTTCTCAGAGGTCGTTTTAACAATTCAGTTTCTCTATGACTTTCCAAATCCATTTTCTATGCATAATCAAAAACAGAAGTGAGACTATTCTACCATTTCTTCTTCCTTTTTTTTTTTTTTTTTTTTGAGATGGAGTCTCGCTCT